AAAACCCACCCTGGGCCTGAACATTGCAGCTTACCACCATATTGATGTCCTTGATGCGTGCCGATGGCATGGAGGTGGCTGGCACCAGATCAGCCCAAGAGAAGGAATGAGAGGCCAATGGAGATTTATGTGAGGAGAGTGAGATGGACAAGGTAAAATTGTCAGGAGGAGTTGTTAGAAAGTAAAATATATTGTGACAATTCCACTCCTGCCGTTCATCAATAAACTGACAGATCATTTAGTGTCAATTAGGAGTGATAGATGGACAAGTCCCCATGATCCTGGGCCAAAATTAATGGCTGGGAGGGAGAGGGTGATTGAAAATGACGGCTGACATTGAGAGGAAAGTCCTGAAGGTCCCCAAGGGGCCATTACTTGCCTCATTCCCTTGCAGATCAATGCAGGGACAAACCCAAAAACAGACACTCCAAGACAAAACTTAATCAGACTTCCTTTTCTTTCTTCTCCTTYTAAGTTGTGCCCCCTTACTTGGCAGCCTTGATCCTCTCTGCCTATACTCTTCACTCCACTGAGGACATCCATAGATAGCTGCAAGATGCAGAGTGAGGCTGATGTTTCCCATGCAGTCAGGAGTCTGGCTCCACTCCTAACATGGTGGTGTCACAGGGAAGCCCAGAATGAGACTCACCTCAACACTGCTGGATTGGGAGTAGAGGACAGAAGAAATGACACAAGCCTTCCCCCACTGTGCCAGATAGGGAAACTCATGATCACTTTACTACTCCCAACTGCAAGACAGGGATTGCTGGATGTTCTAAAACCAGGCACTCTCAGGGGTAATTTCTTACAGAGAGAATACAGGACAGTTTAAGCCCATATTTTTGAAACAGGAGGTTTTTAACTTTACTTATCTCTRGAGACCTTGAATCATAAAACCCCTTAATCTCTTAAATAACTTTCCTCCGGCTCCAGGGTACAATCTCACCACTGTCCACCCTTCAGAGCTTTAAATGACATGTACACAGGTGCTGGGTTGTCCTGCTCTAAAGGTCACCCTGACCATATCCCCTTCCTTTCTACAGGCACTTAATATTCACCTTCATTTCTACAGGCACTTAATATTCACCTTCTTGGCAAATAAACTTCTGGACACTGTACCACTGTACTGCTTAGCTCCAAAATCCTTCATTTTCCTGAACAAGTCTTGATTATTACAACTCTGTGTGACCCATCAGTTAGAAAGGGGAAATTTCAGTTGCAGCTGAAACACCTGATGTTAAACTGCCACGATCCATGTAGAAGACAAGAGGTACACATGCAGGCACTGGAAGGGACTTCCTACTGAAAGCAGCACTTATGTTTGCTTGCAGGGCCACCTGAAATGAGCTGTATTTGTTCCACAACAACCCTAACTGCTGTCTGCAGAGCTGTAGGAATTGAAGGGAGCTCACTGGAAGACCAAAGGTATCAAGCACCCAAGTAAACTGAAAGAGTCCCAAGAAGCAAAGAAATTAAGATACTGATAGAGAAGAAAATTGAAGAAATTCTATCAGGAAAGTCAGAGAGACAAGATCAGATGTTGTTGGAATTAAATGAACCATGGAAGCATCCCTCCTTTATCAAGTCCTCACCACTATGTAAAACTGAATTCCATATTCTTTCTCCCACTTGCAAGCACTTTGTGTTTCTTCCTTTTGATGTGTGAGATAACCTGACACTAAACCTCTGCTTTGCCTGTCACGAGTGTCAGCACTGATGTCATTAGGGACATCAGCATAGCTTTCAGAATAGCACTTGGGCACCATCCAGTGGTTAGAGAGCTGCTTCTGTAGCAAAACCCAGCTGTAATTACTGTTATTTATCTCAGCAGGCTCTAGGCCCCAGGWGGCTGTCCAGGTTCTCGGCTAGTCCCCTCTGCTAATACTGGGGCTAGAATGTTGCTGGGGCAGCAATAAGACCCCCTGTCCTCACAGAGAATAATTCTTCTGAGTACAGGTTTAACTAGACACAGCAGATTCAGGTACAGATGACCCCCGTAGTATGGAAAAATGAATTTTCTGTCACTACTTTGCACTATTTATTTGCTGTTTGCAAAGAACGAGCCTGGGGGTTTGTTCAGACACTTACCAGTGGTCCTCATTGTTAYCTGGATTTACAGCATGGGACTCCAAGCAATGACAGCTGTTCTACAAGAGTACTGGGAATCCAAAGCAATCTTTCCACTCTTGGCTTTTGAAAACTTGAGTAGAAGAGATCATTTTGATAGTTCAGCAGTTTACATATCTGACACTTGTAAATACTATGTGAACTCATGATAAAATACTGTATCTCACACATGATCCATGATAATTAATTTTAAAAATAATTTAGATTGGAAAACTTTAAGGGGCTTCCTCCTTTTCCTATCTTGCAACAGTCTAAGAGAGCAGCAGCCTGAGGGAAATAATCAGCAAGATGCTGAGAATATTTACAGGTTTATGTAAAAATGAACATGAGTTGGGCAGGTAAGTGACTAAGAGAGAGCACAAAGGTAGAAAAACAGGTTACAAACTAAATTCTACTCTAACATKTGCCAAATGGAAATAAAAATAATAATTTTGAGTTATCATTTCATACTGATAAGACTGTGAACTAGAAATACAGCAGAAAAGAATCCCTTCAGGAAAAGCAACGTGTCTGCAGTTGTAACTGAATATGTCAGAAACAAAACTAAAAGCTAAGACTTCAAATGGAGAAAGAATAACACATAAATAGCTACAAGATCATTGTGTAAATGGCTGCAATATCCCATCTGGCCCACAATATATTTACACAACACAGAAGATCTAACTGTAGCCACTTTGCTCATTCTTCCTAGGTGATAAAAAAACCCCCAGATTTTAATATTGTCAGTTCTGAAAATCAAATTACTTCTAACAGAACAATTCTCAAGTGTAASTTCAGTCACACTGGCATAAAAGTGCTTAAACCTGAATCAGGTATATGAACAGAAGCATGTTATTCTAACTACATCTACACTAGTGAAATTGGAGCAAGATAACTTGATAGGCTTCCAAACAGAGTCAAATTGGTTAAAAAGCTGTGGGGAGATAAAGCCTGAGAAAACAGAAACAACAAAGCTACAGAAACATTGGTATGACATCAGCCGATGACTCAGACTTTTCACATGAAGGCTTTACCCTGGGATATATCACAAAGACAGCCCTACAGGCCAGCATCTCAGATTTTTTAAGGGAGAGAAGAGAGATCAGCTTGAGGAGAATACACAGCTGAAGGAAAGAAAAGACAGAGGATCTAGTTGTACAAATCCTTGTGCCTTATATGACTGGAGAAAGTCAGAATAAAATTCTTCATACAATTTATTCAATAAAAACCCTTAATACAAATGGACAGTGTCAAACATAACATATCAGATGCATGATTGAGCAAGGGGCACATCCTGATCTCATGTCCCAGTGTGCAGATTCTCACAGGTAGAAAGGTCTGCAACCCTACATGTCCTGCTCTGCTTCTCCCGCTGAACTGCATTCAACATCATAGAAGTATTTACTCCAGACATCTACAATGTGTATAACCSATGCAGTTGAGATGCTGGGGAAGCATCCCTCACAGCTACTGCTGCAAATCTACATGGTAAAGCTAATGTCAAACAATGGGAAACAAGGGAAAGCAGCCCATGGCAGAGTGCTGTTATATTAGGAACCTGTTCACTGTCCTTCAGGGCACATTAGGCACAGCCCTGCATATGCATTACCTCAAATCCAGTCCTTCACCCAACCAACGATTACATAACTTATTTTTCCTAAACAGCTAAATTCAACCTTCTTGTCTGCTGTCACATTTCCATAAAGCTTCTGCTTGGTCCTACAAAGATCCGGAATCATTGGTGCCACTTTTTAAACACCCTGAGGTTGATGCATCTTTGCAATGGCAGCTTCTAGCTGTAGCCAGCCTATGAAAAATAATCATTATCAAGGTTAAACTGGAGAGCAACAGGAACTCAGGCTGAGGTCTTCATTCCTTTGTTTTATTCTAGTCTCCAGAATTCCAGACTATTTATTTTTCAGAGACAAACAGAGTGGTAATTTTCCCAGAAAAGTATTCTTTGTCCAGAAAACAACCATCTTTTTCCCTTCACAAGAAATACTGACCGTATCATAGGTTTTTGGATGTCATCACCCATTCTCAGTTTCAGAAAAGAAGATACATAACTTTTCATAAATCAGAATGTCTCCAAAGTGTATATTAAGACATAAACATTCTTATTTATAGGCCTTTAAGTACACAAGCAATCTCACACCACACCATGGCTGAGCCCTTCAGCCTCTGTGAATACAAAATACAACATCAACATAACTTCACAGCTTGGAAAACAACAAATAGCTTGAAAGCAAGTAATCTCCCAGTCTGAACTGTCCTTTAGTTTTCATACCATTCTATTACCATGTCCAGACATTTCCTTTGCTCTTACATGTCCTTCATAAGCATCAGGCTTCTCAGCATACATTCTATGATCTGTATCCTTTTTCCTCCCATCTCTTCTTGCTGACCATCTCCATCCATCTCCATTATACCATAACCCCMCACACACGTAAACATTGACAAATTTCACCTTTACTGTCAAGGCAGATCACTAAATCCTGATGTGTTCATTGCACTCGTGTCAGTGCAGTGCTGTCATGTGTCACTCTCCTGGAAAGGATGGAACCAGTCAAATTGCCCCATCCCAGCTCCTGCATTTATTATTAGGCTTATTATATTCTTCCCTCCTTCCAGGCACTCTACCTGGTAAGGAATATACTGCCTCTGGCAAACACGGACATATACAGTTCTAAGCCTCGCCAAGTCAATTTGCCAATGGAACAAAGCAAAAGCAATACTTCAATAGGCTTGAACAAGTTACATTGATACTGGAAACAGAGGCCATCTAAAAGATCCAGGAAAACTGCTCCAGTGTCTGTGACAACAAGGTTCAACTAGTGATGTTCCTTCATTCCACACCGAAGTCCCTCCCAATAAAGAAAGAGGTGAGGACTTACTTGGTAGGTGCCAATACAGGATCATCTGCCCAGCCTCCTTGCCGTCGTGGGGGTTTAGGTGGTGGAACCTTTAATACAGAGAAGAGACATGTTACAGATAGCTCTAGCCAAGGCAAAGTCAAGACAATTGAGACACCAGGTCCACAYATACTAATGTAACAGTTTACCAAATAATGGAGAGATAGTGTCTAAAATGTCGTTTATTCACAAAATAAAAGGAAGATGTACTGCAGAACAGGTTTTGAAGCACCTCTGTAAGCAAAAGATGCATCACCCTAATCAGTATCTTGACAAGTTTTAGTTCTATGTGCCTTTGAATAGTCCAGGGCACAATTACAGCAGCAGTCTGATCCACAGAGAATGTGCTCTCCTGGCAAAATAGGGTTCACTGGGAACATGTTCATCCCTGTTGCTCACGTTTCAGTGAGAGGTATCAGAGTATAAGACAGCATGTTTTAGACATCTTGTTTTACATGAGGAGTTGCTCCTAAAACATCTGCTTTTGTCCACCGCTTAGAATAGGAGGATAGATGCCAAGATACAGTGAGCCATATCCAAACACTTCCAAAGTCATTTGGGATGAATACCACCACTGCCACCACTGAAATCTAAAGGGGAAGTTCATCTTGAGCTTAAAGATATCCCCTACTATTTTCTTGTATTTTTTCATGTGGCACTCTGCCATACAGCAAGAGAAAATGGGAATTCAGCTGGGAGCTTATGATGGGAATTTTCAAATGGGGCCATCAATTCCCACCATTTGGAAGCTGCCTGTTGACATTTACAGTTTTGGGCTTGGTTCCTCCAGCCTGAGGCACTTTGTACAGCAGTGCCTTCAGTTTTCTGCATGACAGACAATGATGAAAGCAGAGAGGCAAGGTGAACCCAGTTTACGTAGCTCCCTGGACCAGTGCCTAGTGAGGGAAAATGGATTACAGGGACCTGTGAAGAGACCATCATGAGCAAGAATGATTGAGTAAAAGATGTCCCAAAACAGAGAATAAATGRTAATTGCAAAGGAATGGTGGGGGGACAGGTGGCTTCCATAGTTTTTATTAAGAAAGTGAATGAGTGGGATGACTCCTGAGGGGTTTTGACTTCAGAGAGGACCTTGCATGTGTGGTAGGGTCAGCCCAGAGCCAAAGCCMAATCACCTCTTGCCACAGATGAGGATGTGGTCGAGCTAACCCCTGATGATAGGGGTCTCCCATGTTTATTTCTTGAAGCAGAAGCATTGTTTGTGAGTGTGGGAAATTAAGAGACCCTGCCAGGAGCAGCCTCTGCCTGCTGCAGGGAGGGGGCATGACCCTGCATAGCTCCCTGATAGGAGCAAAAATAGTCATCCTCCAAAAATAAACAGGGAGCAGGAATGAGGCAGGAGCTGCAGTCCCAAAATACCAACTTTCTTCAGCAAAGGGAGCACAGGAGGGCAGAGGGACAGGCAGGGAGCGTGAAACGCAGGAAACAGCCTCCTTATATGGGCTCATCCGTAGGGGACAGAGCTCAGTCGACTGGAATGACCATGTCACAGAATGTGAAGCCTTCAGGGGCCCAAGTGAATGGAGTTTTCTGGTCTTTAAATGATTCCCCCAGATTCTTAAGATGCCAAACCAGAGATGAGGCTACAGTGCCAAAAAAGGAGCATTTTGAATTCAGTTGATCTGGACACACCCAGAACCCAGGAAAAAGCGGGAAAACACACCACATATGGGTGTGCATGCCCACATGAACATCCCAATTCCCATTACACACACCCCTAACTCAAAGACACACTCCCTCCCACACAGATCCTCCCCATGCAAAAAAACTCACTTTAACCTCACACTATCCCTCTGATAGCAAGCAAGCCATGTTTCCAACATACAGCCCCCCAACTCATCACAAAGGTTCATKGTGATACACAAATGACCACAGAACCTGGGCCATAAGGCTGAGGGGAAATGCAGCCTCTCCAGAGCATTTCAATGTACCTGCAATTTAATTTCCTCATCATCAAAACTAGCCTTCAAATCAACTCAAGTGAGACACATCAGATCAGAGGGTGATGACAATGACTTCCCCAGACTTTGCACGAGCATGACTCCAGGGCATCTAGGGGTTTGATTCCAATGTCTTGCCAACATTATAACATGTTCCCATTGATCATACACACCAGGCAACCCTGAATGTCTGTCAGACCCTGGCAAACACCTCACATACACCTACAGGCCTTTTATTCCTCTTGCAATAAATCAGGTAATTCTTTCTGAATTGCCTACAGGTGTTTTCTCTCAGCCCCTGCTGCTCAGTCTCTTTTACAGCATTAACTAAACACTTACTTGCTGTGGTTTGCCTTTCCACTTCAGTTTTGTCAGTTATTTATCTCCAAAAGATTTCTTGTGTTTCAGCAGACTGTCCCTTTTTCAAGGAAAATTGCCATGGTCTGAGTTTTTAGGGTTTTTTTTCCTCAGAAATTCAGCTCACCATTTGGCATTTTTCTGATGGCATTCTTCCAGTATTTCTCAGGCCACCTTCCTTACCAAYGCTTTGAAACTACATCCATAATCAGTATTTTATCTCTCTCTTTGAAAAATGACTGGCATGAATTCCATCTCTCCTGTATTGAAGTAGAAACTTTACCTTCTTCTTTATCTTTTTCCAGGCCTTTCTTATCAGACAGATGCAGAGTTCTAATTCGGTTTCCCCATTAAAGCAGAAATTTCCAGGCTACTTGTCAGATCATGTCTGCAGTTCTGAAGGAGCCAGATGGATGTTGCTTCCCTCATGGCAGCAACTACCCTGTGTGTCTCTGAATCCTGAAGATCCAGCGAAGTTTCTTGTAGGACCTATCACAACCAACAGAGGCAGACTATGGGCATGTTAAGTCCCTCAGATACTCAGGTGGGTCTGGAAATATGGATTAATTTACCTTCATCAACATGACAACTCCTTTGAAACACTGAGTACTCTGTGCAGGGATTCAGGGACTCAAATGACATTGACAGCGTGCAACAGAGGACACACAATTCTTCTGTGATGTTGTATTTCTCCTAAAATCTGTGGGACCTATGTTTTTGCTATATACAAACACTGTAAGGTTTTACACGCTATGTGGGGATGTTGTTTTTATCCTATACTGACCATGGAGTGGAAAGAAAGAAGTATGGGCAGTCTCAAGGTTTCTCTTCTCCAGCAAGATGCTGGAGGCTCCCCTGACTGAGGTAAAGCAAATCTTCACAACCAGGCCTGATGAATTAGTTTTGATTGCTGCCAATTAAGGAGCTGTAAGTCAAAAATCCCCACTGCTCCTGTGATCTCAGAGCATGCATGATATCAAAAACACATCAATCCCAAGATCTATGTAAGCCTGGGCTTTTTGCAAAGAACAACCCATCTCTGCTAGCTCCCTTTATTATGTCCACAGACAGTGAGAATAGTGCAGCTGATTTTAAAGAATACCCTCCAAGGACTTCTGCATGTCTTAAAATACCTAGTAGAAAATACTGGATTTTCATTTCATCCACAAACTGTCCTTTTTTTTATGGTCACTGACTTTCCTTTACTAGGGAAAGTGCTATTGAGATGGAAAAAGTTCTTGGGGGCCTTCAAATATTCTCTGTCATCTATCACAGCAGGTAAAGGAGCAGTTCATATTGTTAACCAGCTATCAATAATTGCTCTTCTAAAACAGTGATCAGCTGTTTGTCAGCTGACATGTGCACCTTTGAGGAAAGATGTCACCTGTGCAGCATTTGGCACCTTAACCTGTCTCAGGAGTTACTGCCCTACATGAAAACAGTGAATCAGCAYACAACAATCTGATTCTCTGAACAAGGGGTCACCAGGTAGAATCCTCTCACAACCCACAGTCATAGGGAAGTGCCCTTCCAGCCCTCCTAGGCATGAACATTTCTCAAATAGTTTGTTACTAATTTATGCCACTTATGGTGAGACATTTTCCCATCCACCTTCCCACCTCTTACTGTTTTTTCATTGCCTTGAGATGGGTCCAGGAGCATTCAAAGTATGAAATAAATGTGAGGAAAAGGAAAAGCTTTTAGTAAAATMATTTTCGATGAGATTATCCCTGATCCACATCAAGGTAGACAAGCAGGGAGGATATTACTAGAAAGGCTGGGAAACATGGCTGACTAGAAAAGCTATTTCAGAAGATGTCATCAAAAGGCAAGGAGATAAGCTCAGAAAGCTGAAAATAACTGCYCTGCCGGTCAGCCAGTTGGGGTGCACGGGAGAGAGGCTGCGCAAGGCCTTGGGGAGCTCCAGGCCATGCAGCGCTGGGGCTCACACTGGGAAAGTTGGCCTAATTAGGGAACAAAAGTTCAGCTGCATTTTTCAGATTCCTCCTGGAGAATCTGGCAAACTTCCAGATGAGAGGTCCCCAGGAACAGGCTGGGAGTCCAGCATTTCTACAAGCAACCAGAAGACATCTGGAAAAAAAAACTATGCAAACCCTGTAAAATGGAAGCAGGTAAAAAACCAAGTACTTCCTTGGATGCTGGATCCTTTTGGTGGAKGGTGTTTATTAGCATAAGGCAAGAATCAAAACAGATGACAGAAACTCTGGGGGACAAACACAGCTCAGCCCAGGACAAACACATAAGTGGGAGGGCATTCACAGTGTGCAAGAGCTACGGGAAATTCAGCCKCAGAGAACCCTCACAGGTTCTCAGAAATGCCGATTGCTTCAAGAGCTGTCTGCTGCCAGTCCACCCTACTCCCAAGTCCATGCCTAAGAAGCAACATGTCACATACAGAATGTAGCTACCCCTGGTGAAGAAGGCTCCTCTTCAAGCTGAAGATCACAGGGGAGAGCAGGATGGTAGAGAAAAATAACACAGTCAAATGTAAGGTCTTTGGGAATAGGAAATTTTTGTTCCAGCCATACACAACACTAAATCTTATTGCAGTGCAAATTGTAGATACAGAAATGACTGTAAGTGACTGCATTACAATTATGACTTCTTAGGTCATGAACTCTCTAAATCAGAGTGGAAAGACAGTGCCCAARTGATTGTGATTATTTTTAGGCAAATAAGTCCCCTGATCCACTTAGMTGAGTACAGCTGGTGCTGTGTTCCTCACTTGCATGTTTCTAAGTTTCAGAGAATGTGGAAGAAAGCACTTGGGGGTGGCCGCTGCACAGATCCAGACCAGACAATGGAATGAGAGTTTGGAGCTTGGTGCCAACCACTGTGCGAGAGCAAGAACTGGGTCAGGAAAATACCGCTCTGATTAAAGGCCCTGATCATATCAAGCCCCAGGCCAAGTCTACACCACAGGTGCAGACACACCTGCAAGCAGGATTCATGTGAGTCAGCTCAAGTCTGGAAATTGTCTTGTTTTGGGTATTTCTGGGTACCAAATTGGTACCTGCCCAGGTAGAGTGCAGGTTGCTTCTCATCAGGGGATCTCCACATTGTTCTGCACTGTATTTCAGGATGCAAATATATTCACTCAAACAACCCCACCCAACTGGGTGACCTAGMGACGTAAGAACACAACTGCACTTAYATTTCAGGTACTTACTTTTTTTATAGTTATTTTTCAAAAAAACATTCAATKAAAACAATTGTTTCAGACATGTTGTCTTAACCTAAAAAGCAACAGCCCATTTTTCCACCCAAATGTTTTAAAAGCAAGCAGAACTACAAAAGGACTTTGATGCCTCCTCTGGAAAGGTCAGGTCTTCAAATCCTCTTTCAAACTTAAAGCATGTTGTCACTCAAACACTCATAAGCCACAGAGGTCAGTATATACCTGTATAAGGGGACAGAAATCAGATGCTGTCCCTGTTTTTAGCCCATGAAGGACCTTGAGACACCTTTTGGCATGTCTGCCAAAGCACAGCTAGAGGATGAGGTCCTAGCTGGACTCACTGGGACTGAATAGATGTCTTCCCATTCAAATGTTGCTACCTTCAGCTAGAAAGTCCTATCCTCTGGTACCAAAATTCTTTTGTTTCCATTTGCAAAACAGAGCAGCTTCAGGAGAAATGACTGAGAGTCTTCTCAGACTCAGAACAGCTCATAGCCTTGTCACATATAATATTCTCTGTAGARGAGGAAAACATTACTTGCTACATCTTTCTCAGAGAAGAAAGAGGAGGGTAAAAYCAGTGCTTTCCAGCTTAGAAAGGACATGGCCAGTTTAATCTTTATGTCTAAAGTATGAGGTTCCAACACTGAAATGAACACATGATAATTTAGGACCTGGAGGGCCCTGAAGGCAAGGAAGAGCCCTGCTCCACCTCTGAAGGCTGGGCTTCAACACCAACACAGGCGGTCATCAGGGTCTCGCACSGATAGTACAGGGTCATGCGCCTCCAGAGCTCTCAGAATGAGGCCAGAACTCCATGGAAGGACAGGGATTCAGACACACTGCCATTCCCAGCCACTCTTTACCATCCCAATAGATCCACCAGCCCATCCTGACATTATCTATACATGCAGGCACCCAATACAGGGTATGGGTTTTGTTATGAGGATAAGGCATCAAAACCCCCCTGTGGTTCTATTTAGAGAATACCCACAGTGCTTCTGCATAAAGCTCTAACTTTCCTTTCAGATAGGGACTAAAGAAAACTAGTGGAGGGACTTCTTCGAGGCCCCAAAGCAAATCTATGGCAAAGCCAGGAAAAAAACCCAGCAAAATCTTGGCTCACAGCCACATTCATACTCCTGCTTATTCTGCCTCTGCAAATTAACTGAAATATTAGGATACACCCTTTATTATACCACTGATCAGCCTTAAAGCCTTTGGCTAAATGTCCCAGGCAGTCTTGCAAGGCGTAGCCAAATGAGTGATTCAACTGGCAAAAATTCAGATGCAAGATGAGTGGTTTGACAGAGGATGCAAAACAAGTTTCAGAGCAGGCAGATGGCTGGAGGGCAGGACTTCAGCAGGTAAATTCACCTTGACAACCCATATGGGGGCTGTTTGTTAGTATTCAGGCAGCTACAAAGTTATCTTCAGCACAGAAAGAAGGAAGGGACCAGATCCAGGAAGAGTTCAGATTGTAACACTCAGCACAGCCCAAAGGGAGTTCAGAGCAGGGTTATATGAGCCATCAGGGGGATGAAGGGGCCAATTTCGGACAAATGATTCAAGACGCCAAGTATTTCAGCTTGGCCAGGCAATCACTAAGAGAGCGATATAGTGCAACAAGATTTGAATCACACTTTATATAATAAAGTTCCACTAACAATTGGTTTGAAAGAGACTTATGATACAATTAACATAAGTTTGTAAGCATGTAGTATTACAAATTAAAAGCAGCTTCCTGATCACATTTTTGAACATTTGGTTAACCATTTTATACCATTTACAGACTTTTACAAATGGAAAAATACTATGAAGTGTGATTGTGATGCTACAAGCATAAGCCTGAATAAAGGACACAGGAATTATCCAAACAAGATGGTTTTCAAAGCAGGGAGCCCCKCATGCTAAGTAAAATCTCCTTGCCAGGCACCATTGCATAACATCCCTGAAGCAACAATTGCTCATGTGGAATAGTCACATCAGTTTAGTTATTTTAATGAAATTTAGCAGCCAGAAGCAAGAAAGCGCCTGTGGCATGTGACCAGTCAGCACTCAACAGCAGACCTTGGGAATCAATGATTTAGGGCAGTGTATGGAGGTGGAATTAGTTCCAGTGAAATGACTGTAAGGACTGGCTCCAGCGAGGCGGTGGCGGGGGGGGCAAGATTAGATCAATTATCAGGAAAAATTTCTATTAGGCAACCAGTCCCCAAAACTATACCCATCAGTGGGAGGTCTCTTTGCCTGATAAATGGAAAAGTGCTCTGGGCATAGTCCTGAACTATCCATCAGTGCCAAATAAACCCAGTGGATCTTTTTTACAATATCATCTCTTATACTACCAAGAGAAAACTGAGCTAATCTGAGTAGTCTTGACTCCTTGTGATGAGCATACYCTTCTGAGGCCAGAATTAATGAGATGGGTGATACGGGTTTCTTTTCTGGGCTTTAGATTTYGCAGATGAATCCACTATGTTACTGGTACTGGAGTGGTCCTTCAGCAGCAGGAGAGAGCAGGAGAGGGTGTTTTAATTGCCTAATATACAGACAGCAACTCTAGGCAGGAAAAACTAGGCAACACCAATTCCATGGTTAGGGAGAGGCCCAGGCAATTAGCCCAAAGACTTTAACAGAAACAGATAGAACTTTTCAAGTTGTTCTGAATGGCATCATCCTGGCTTCTAATGCTAAATGAATGCTGAGACGTATTTTTGCTTTGCTGCAGGATAAGAAAGGGTAYGTGTATTCTTTCTCTGTGTCTAATAGGAGCCTGGTAAGAAGCACTATGACATCCTATTAACTATAGATTCTGGCATTCAGTGCTAGTACAATAAAAAGAAAAGACTCATAGAAAMTATGTCCTTGTCACTACTGGCTGGCTTTCTCCTCTGGGGCACTAGCAAGACTTCATCATCCCTGAAGACAAGTTTTCATGTCACGTTAGAGCAAACTAACCATACTGGACAGCAATTTAGGTTTAGTCAGGTTTTGTACTCTATTAGCTAATTGCTGCCCTAACTTTTGAATGAAAATAGAGCATCTTCCCAGTGGTCACATATACATCTGTGACCTCAAAACATGATGCAGCTGCTGATAAGAGCAGCTGTTACAAAGATAATTAAAAACCTGTCAGCAACAGAAATAGAGGATGTAGGAAAGGSACTGCATCCAAAGCAAACTTTATAATATTCTCCAATACTGCAGAACCCTTTAAGGTAGTCTCCAGATATATAACACATTAATCCTACTAGTCCCCTTCAGAGGAGCCAGCATCTACCTAGAAAGCCTCTAGTCTTACATGGTCAACCTTTTCCTGAGAGTCTTCATCCTAGAAGGGTCAGAAGGGAAAAGGAGAAAAAGAAATTAAAAGGAAGCATTACGGAAATCTGAAAATTGACATTTATGGCTGTCCTGCAGCACATGCTTTGCAACCTTATTCAACTGACAAAGCACAAAGTTGGTCCCACCATTGTAACATTTTACATCCAGTCATTTATGCATATACTAATTGTGATACTCAGAGAAAAAAAAAAACAAATGTGAACAAAAAGAGAACAGACTTAGCTCATTCTCCATATAGCATGATAAAAGACAAATTATTTGTAGGCTCCATACAAATCCTGTGTAGGATTTGTATGGACCCTACACCAGGAGTATGCATAGGATGGCTGGAAACACTCCACTAAACCACCTGACTTTTCTTCTGGACTGCATCATCTCTTCTGTGGAACGTGGAAGCCATGTGATTAATAAACTGCATATATCTCTGATGGAAATGGTTTGGTATCTGAGTTGATTTTGTGTTTTTGCTGTCATCTGGTCTTATGATTTTACTATGGCAAGAGCACRGGGAGGCTACATGTGCGTTAGTGCAGCTGGGGTACAAAAGTGTCCATACCAATGAGCAGCACAAATGAAATCAGATTTGCCCAACTGGTAAAAATCTGTTGGAAGCATGTATCTGTCAGCCAGGGAGCTGCTTGTTCCCACAGCCAAAAACAGAAAGGCTTCTTCAGGGTCCAACAAGACCTAAGCATTTCTGCATGTACAGAGCCCAGGTGGTACAAGATTTACCCTAGCATGGCAAAACATCCAGCTGGACAACACATGTTGGAAAAGCATTTAAATAACCACTTCTTGGAGCAATCTTCCATGTGGATTGCACTCTCAGCAATTTTTTTAAATTATTCTTTATTCATTTGGGCTAGGTAACGGGAGTCCTATTTGAATGATGCCTGAATGTCAGCCTAAAGAATCACTGCCAGGAATGTTTGTAAACTGGCCGGTGGAAGTCCAGGTATCTGCTTTGCAAAATTTACCTGTGGAAACAACCTTCCAATATGCAGTGGAGGTGGCCCAAGTTTTTGTCTGTCTACATGGATCTAGGCTGAATAAGGTATTTTTTACAGTACAGAAATGCTTTTTAACTACCACCCAAGGACCACAACTACATAAGCAAGCTTACAGATACCAGGTAGGACAACAAGAAAAGAATGTACTTTCAGAAGTGAAAGCACGCAGCCTTTCCACAGGCTGTGGTGAAATGTGGCAGAAAAAAACAGCAGGAAACGTGATTTTGGGGCAAATCCTGATATAAAGTCATTTTATCCTACCTGTGAGGAAATATTCTCAAAATAGGGAAAACCCTCATCCTTTAGGCTGACCATTGCCTACTAAAGCAGTCTCCACTCAAAGGATCTACAGAGTGGTGCCACAGACACATTGGCAAAATCATACTGAGACTGGAAGAGGCAGAAACCAGGGAACTYTTGTACAAGGTCCCAAGAGAATAATGTCACTGGAAGATAAAGGGAAAAGGGACTATCCAAGTAGGATAACATTAAAATATTTTTGCACACAGATTTCTTACAGAACCGCAAATAGTTCACTTTCACTGAGAGAAGAAACAGAAGGAAAAATCTGCTGATGTGTTTTTTAAACAGGCTTTTCCATGCAGCTTTCCAAATCAATCTCATCAAGAGCTCCAAACCTAGAAGCCAAGCAGCTTCTTCTGATGGATGTCATCAAGCCAGCATTCAGGCTGTTTGGTGCAGTGATGTTAGAGCCAGGAAAAAGGTTTGATCTTTATTTTATAAAAGTGTCCAGAAGTCTTGTTAGGATGGGATAACAAAGACCTTCAACAGATCTTATTATATGATCTGTCCCTCCCATTATACAAATAACAYGACTAGCTTGAGTTTCTCCAATTTTGTCAGAAACATGATAGTATCAAGATAAGTAAATGTACATCGAGCCAGGGGATGGGAAAGGCCTCCCAATGGAAAAAAAGATACATTACCCCTCTGAAAATGAATGTTTGAAATGCAGAGTTYTGGCATGCAGCAAGCAGATTTATCTCTAGGAATTCCCACTTAGAGCATATTCCCCTGGGTGCCCAAGAAGTGCCTGCTGAATTGCCAAGGAGCTCTGAAGGCCAAGAACATGCACAGCCTTTGCTGCAGGAGGATGCCGACTGCACCAATTACAGAAAACAATCATGTTCCTTCTTGCCTGGTGAAATAACACATMGCTGCAATGTTGTTTGTTAGTACTTGCACTTCTGAAAAGACAGGAATGCTCTGCATGTCAGATGGCAGAGTGTGAGCTTTGTGACCTTTCATGAGCCCCTTGAGGTCTACATTTGAAGACCATGCTGCTACTTCCATATAGAATGTGGATTATCAATAAGAGATTTGGGCAGAGGAATTACAGATTTGCTGCTGCAGTTAAGAATATTCTTGTGCCAGATACATACATGTAACAGGCACTGAAAAGATACTAAGATATCACAGTGTTTTAATGGAGCTTGGGGGAAGTACATTAGGCTAAGAGACACAAGACATTGCAGCTATACCCTGGGGGAGGGGGTTTAAACAACACATTTGTTGTACAGAGCAACACAGTTTGGAGTCTCTTTTGGAAGAGAGAACCCAGGCAAAGGAGAGATCAGCAGTAAYCTGATAAGATCTATGCTCCAAGTCAGATGATTTGCCTATTGACTTCAAAACAAAGATCTTTTTAATTACATTAATTGTTCACCCCTCTAAGTGAATTTCCTTGTAATAAGCCTAAATGTTGAAACATGGATAGACAGGTACTTTTTGCTTCCTTCAAGCAAGCTGCTCTGACTGGAAAACACTTCCTCGATGCCTCTCAGTGTCATGAAAAGTCTCGAACAATAGCACAAATGGTATGTTCATACCTAAATTTGAGATGGGTGGAAACTGGGTGGATTGGCATGGAATTTTAAAAGAAAATGAAAAG